TTTGATATTGTCATTATTAGAGATTTATTAACCAATACTTAGAGAATAAATAAAAAATAAAAAGTAAAACATGTGTCATATTAAAAATATAAACAAAACTTTTTTTGAAATAATTAAAGATATTGATTGAAAAATATTAAATATGATATTGCAACATCTACAAGGACTTAACCTGACTACAAGTATCTCATCCACAAAGTATCCTGTCAAAGTTACCATTCTCCACTAATAGAGATGAACATTGCCAATGTAAGGCATCACACGTAAGACACCCATATATTATAAATACAGAGATATTAGCCCCGGCCACGTAAAATTATCTTCCCATCAATACTTGAAAATTGAATCCTTAATGATTGAAGCATCAGATTGCCTTGCAGGTATCCCCACTTTCCCCCAATTACTCCAAAGTATCAAAATTAGTTTAACCATCTTGCAGAGTATCTCGCCAACAATCCATACACTTAACAATACTAGCAGGGTTCAACCGATTTTGATCTAACACAATAGTTATTGGACTGATCAAAATGTTATTTTTTAATAACTAAAATACATCTCGTATGAGGTCGGGAAAAATTGCTAATTTTATTTTGGATTAATAGTCATTAAAACATTGGTTAATAAAAGCATTATTTTTTTATTAAAAACATTATTATTATTATTATTATTATTTAAAAAACTTACGATAAAGTTCAACCTTAAAAATTGATTTCCTTCCAACCCTTATTTCCATCAAAAAAGTAAAACTGTAATATCAAATTTTTAATATTAACTTTTCTCTTTTTTTTAGAGTATCCCATCTATCTCGATGCAATTAATTCCCTTCGAAATATAAGGCCTGTTTGGAGCACCTGATAAAGAAGATAGGATAGAATAACTTATCATATTCTACTTTTATCTCTTGTTTGGTGGGTCAATAAGATATGATTAGCTTATCTTATTGTCTCATTTTATCCTATCCAATACATGATTTCTTATCCTATGGGTTATGATTCAACATGATAGATACCAATATTGGATACCCAATATATCCCCACGCTACCCAACAGGATCTGAATCGTACTTGAGATCGTTTTTTCTCTCAAACTGGTTGGGATCGACGTGTAAACGCATAAGATTAGTGGAAACAAATGTTTCCACCATTGAAGCGATACAGGTGGAAAAAAACCAAGATTTATGGCTGCTTAGATTTGGGAGAAAAAAACGCAAAAGACGAAGAGTCTTCAAGCGGTGGTTGGCGGAGACCGAATCCTCAACAACCTCTTATGATTAAATTTGGCCCATGGAACTTAAAAAAGAAACAAAAGAAAGGAACAGAACTGAAGGAAGAAGAAAAGGAAATACTCGCTTGAAGAGAGAGAGAAAGTCTTAATAGTGAACAAGTTAATTAAAAATATTTTGTTTAAAATTATAATTGTTAGAATTGTATTGTATAAATAAATGTAAAAATTATTTTTTGATAAATTATATGACATTATGTTAAAAAGGGTATTTTAGTCTATTTGTATCATATCGTTATGATATCGGGTTCACCTCAAACACATGATAGGATAACATAATCTTATCAGATTGCTAATGAGATGTCCATCAAACACATGACATGATATAGACTTATCAACCTCATATCATATCCTACCCTTATCCTATCCGTTCTTATCCTTTCTTGTCCACCAAATGAGCTCATAGAGTGCACCAATTTTTTTTTTTATTTTTGTTTTTTGTTTTTAGACTTTCAAGTGAAAACATATAAAGTGAAATAAAATATGCTTTTCAGTTTTGAGAATACATGTATAGATAGAATTGCGCATTTAAAATTTTCTCTCAAAGAAATAAAACTTGCACCTCTTTTAGATAGTATTATAGTAATATTTTTTGTCTTAGTTGATAAACAGTGTCTTATAGGGATTTACGAGACGTGTTGTATTAGGTCATTGAGATGATTATTAATTGTTAACCTTAAAATTTAGTACTTGGTTATCACAAGATATATAGTTTATAATGTTTAGTCAAAATGATATTTTTAGTTTATGAAAGGAATTTTTGTGTGGATAAATCACATGTATTTTCTACGGAAGACAATTCTGTTTGGGACGGGTCTAGAATTAAGACTTTAAATTCTTCCCAAAGATAGTACTAGGAGCATCAAACACATGCTCTTATCCCCACTTGCTTAGCTCTCATGCGTCAACTGAATTGCTATTATTTGATTAAAATAGACTAAACTATTCCACTCCATATATAAATCTTCACTGTTTGTTTGCCTTGTTTGATTAAGGAATTAGGGATTGTGATTTTCTATTTATGTATTTATTTTTTTGTAAAAATTCATTAAAGTCCAAAGCCATATATTAATATATTATATACATTCATATTAAATGAACACTCCACATATGGATTTTTCTCAAAATTCAGAAACACTAGTTTTGTTTTTTGAGATTTTAGAAGAACCTTTTATTTAAATATTTATTGAGACTAGGACTTTTTGTTTTCAAATATATATGCTAACAATTTTTACTATGAAGTCGGAACCAAATCATTAGGGAGTTCACAAACTTATTAAACCTGGAAACTAGACTGTCAGTGGTATTGAGGGCGCCTGTTAATACGCTCATTTTAAATTAGTTACCTCATTTAGATGTAGACAACGAACTTGCATAGAGGTTGTAATTATCTATTTTACTTCATGACCTTGAAAGAATGTTTCACTATTAAGCGCACAATTTTTTTCTAAGAACTTTAAAAAAAGTTTGGAAACCATGCTTTCAGTGTTTACAATTGTAGGTGTTAATTAATGTTTAGTCCTACATACTCTATACTTTGCAAGACTAATTAAATTAACCAATTATTGTCTAGACTTCTATTCATATGCTTTTTCTAATTAAATTTAAACGCCGCTATAAGGCGATTTGCATTTACAAATTTTCCAAAAAGAAGAAGAAGCTAAAAACACATCTCATTTTGAAAGAGACAGATCTAGAGGACAAATTTATTACAGGGGATTAACTATTCTATTTTGTTCATAGGTTCTAAGGATTTTTAGAGTGAAAAATCTAATCACATTCGTATTCCCCAAACTGGTCAAAAAGTCATGATCAATCAGACTTAGGCTACAATGCAATTTTAGCTACCAAAAGGACCCATTTTCTAGCTTAATAATATAATTAATTAGGGGGAAATTTGGTATCTTACTAATTACGAGTAAATAGTTTACGTCTCTATATATTACACACACATAGCCACACAGAGAGACTTAAAGATTAGTGTCACCAAATTAGAGTCACTACATTAGTACTTTAAGGATTTTGTCACGGCTCTTAAAAATCTAAAATGTTGCTATATATTCATCCCTATAGTGTTGAGAATTAATTTATTAATTGTTTTATATATTTGAGAGACTAATTAATTATATTTTTTTGTGGATAGTTAGGGCTTGTTTGGACGGATTTTTCTTTCTCTAAAAGTTTCTTTTTTTAAAGAAAAAAAAGCATTTCTCATTACAAAGATCGTTTGGATATCTGTTTAAAAGAAAAGCAAAAATTTGTTTTTTCTAAGGTAAAAAAGTAGAAATCAATTTTTTTTTTAAATTTAAAGTACTTCTAAAATAAACAAGTATAAAAAGTTCTTTTTTACAAGTCCATCCAAGACCTTAATGTCGTAACATCTAATCTTTGAGACAAATTTAACACGATATTGTACCAAAAAAAAAATTAACACGATATCTTAATTTTTAGAAGACTTATTAAAGGGTTTTTTTTAGGAATTTACTACAATTTTAATCTTATTACGATTACTACATGATTGATTATCATTGGATCAAATTGAAATCGACGACAATTAATTTTTTTTTAACTATTAATTTCATATTGATTCAACAGTAATCAATGAGGTAGTAAGAGTAATAAGTATAAAATGATAATAAATATAACATCTATTTTTTATATATATAAAGTAATACTTTCTTATTACCAAAGTAAAACTTTTCTTATTAGCAAAGTAATAATTTTCTATTGGGAAAAGTGTTTGTCATTTTAAATGACAAAAAGTTATGTCATTTTAAAAGAGATACAGACACAAAAAATTTGAATTTTAAATTAAAAAAAAGTATCAACTTTCTCTCCCATGATTTTCGTTTTTCTGTGTCTATCTCTCTCCTAAAATGACATAACCTATGTCATTTAAAATGACAAATACCAAATCTTTTATGGTTATGTCTTTTTGAATAAACTTACTTAACTTTCGTTATAATCTCAACAGTTCCACATCTTCTTCTGTTGTAATAGTTGTTCCAACTTCTTTTAAGACATTATTAATAACAATACATATTCAGTTTACTCATCGGGTCAATAAGAGTAAGTAATTAATTTGACATGTGTGATATAAATATAAAAAAGTCAAGGTTTATGATGTACTTGAGAAGACACTTATCCATTACAGCTTTCTCATTGAAGTTCTATTTAGTAAACATATATTGACTTACCCCAATTAAGGAAGACATCTTTCTTGTATTGATCTCTCTTGTTGTCAGAAAGCAGCATGCAGCAACAGCAACAGCAACATATCAATTTCATGATTTCATCATGTCTACCATTTTTAGTTGACGTCTTATCTTCACCCTAAGATTCATCACACAAAAAGTAAAATTGAGTTAGAAAGACGTGTAATAATTATTTAGCTATTTCTTTTTCTAGAATTTTCCCAACATCATAATGAAACTAGTTTACTTATTATTGAACTCAAGAAAGAAACCAACCATTATCAAGAAAATAACATTAATCATTCTTATTACATAAAAAAATAAATAACAAAACTTAAAATGGCTGTACTAAAAAAAGAACTCAATGTATTTAAATAATAAAAAAAAATTACTTATCATTGCGCACATTAAAAAATGGGGTCACGTCGCTATCATGCGCCCTGTGGGTCACTATCCTATTCCTATCCTCCTTTAAATAATTGGAACCAGAAGAAAAAAAATACAGAACCGTTTTTTTTTTTTTTTTTCCGTTCTTATTCGTCGTTCAATTCAATTACTCGCCGACTTTTAGGTACAGGTGGCGATTGGCCACCGCAGATGCTACTAATTCTTGCCGTTGATCCACGCGCTGGTGACGCCCTTGTTGATTCTCCGGCACTGTTTTGGTACTATAATCTCTCTCTTTCTTCTTCGATCTAAGATTTTCCGTTTGTTTCCCGAGAAAGTTAGGGAAAACCGACACTTTGAAATCTCGCTTTGCTTTGTTCGATTTGAGTTTCATTTCACTGTGTTTAGTATTTGGTGCCGCGGTTTCTGATTTCTCATGCTTTTCTAAGTAACTGAGAAGCTTTGCAGATTTTGTTTGTTTGTTTCTTTTTTCTGTTTTTTGGCAATTTAATTTACTTTCTTGGAGTTGGGATTGTTTTTGGGAGATTGGCTGCTAACATGTAGAGTGAATCGATAGGAGTTGTTCATATATATTCGCGTGCATGTTCATTGGGTTGGTAAGAAAATATACATGACGGTTTACATAAGATGGTTGGGAGTATTATTTAAGTGAGTTTTTTTTTTTTTTAAATGTAGAACTTGGTTTCTGTATAAATATGATGAACAAAATTGAGAATTTCAGCAAAAACACCCCTCCCCCCTTTCTCTAAAGTTAAAACAATAGATTCACCACGTTTTTGGAGCATCTAGAAACTTGAGGTACTCTTAAAGTGGTTTTAGTCATGTGAGACTGCCCTTGTCTTAACCCTTACGGCTTTTCAAATCTGTATCTTCCCTGTGAAATGTGCTTTTGTTATCTGATCAACATTGAATTTGTTCATCTGAGCATATTCTGTCCTTTAACGGTTGAAAGGAGTAAGTGGAATGGAAACTACTGTTAAAATTAGTTAAAGAAGATATAGAATGAAAGATTTTTTTTTTTTTTTGAAACTAATAAAAGGAAAGACTTTAAAACTATGGAAAATCATTCTGACTCTGATTACTTTTGGTTGAAAAGGCTGTAACTTTGGTTCTTCTGAGTGGAGGGAGCCATATACAGAAATCAATTTATGGTGCGTCGATGAGAAGAACTGATGTTATTGGCAGTAGAAGGAGGAGGATTCTTCTCTGCTTCGGCTTCAGGGTATAGTAAAGGCCTGAGCCTTCTCCTCTTGGGCCAGAGGAATGAGGATAAACCCATGAGAGTTGCGCCGTGGAACCAGTACCAGTTGGTAGACCAAGAATCTGACCCAGAGCTCCAGCTGGCGTCCACAAAGAACCGTCTCTCCCGCGGGTGTGCCTCCTTTGTTTGCTTTGGTCGCACTTCCGCAGGGCTTGATACTCCATCTCCTCTTAAAGTGGGCCCTGCCCAACACCAAGATGCCTCACCAGGGCCACTGGTTTCCAACAAGGGAAAGGACCCTTCTGCTCATGTAGAGGATGATCATGATAGTAGAAAGGTTAAACTTAAAAGTAGCATGAAAAGGCCACAAATTAATAAACCAGTACATGTTGAGGCTGCTTATGAACATGAAGCATCAGGTGGAGAGGGGATTTATACTCCTGGTAGTCAAGCTGAGAGAAGGAAAGTGCAGTGGACAGATGCTTGTGGTAGTGAGCTTGTTGAAATACGAGAATTTGAGCCCAGGTATTTAAATCTTTTATTTTCTATAGCAGTTAATTTAAAAGGAGGAGTCTTTTTCTTTGTTCAATTGCAAAACTTAAAAGGTCTTGTTAATCAAATTTTATCATTAGGAGCTCCTGAGATTTTATTTTGAGCAATTGACACAAGTGAATCAGATATGCTTGAATGGCCTTTTTCATTTTCCCTTTTATTTATTATAAATAATCTAAATATCTAATATTTACTGTGATATATGATGTATGAAGCTTTTAGCATTTTGGCTTGAGGTTGAGTTGAGTGAAATTAGTGTTCATTTTTGCGAAATGAAATGTGAACTGAATTCTGAATTGAGAATGTGCGTGCATATATGGCTTCTCCAAGCCCTAACATTTTGTTCATTCCAAATGCTATTTGGTCCCACTGGTATCACATTAGCTAAACTGGTACTGTTCTTGATTGGAATTAAAAATGTGGGATGCATTTGGACGTACTTTGTGTTGAAAGATGGTCTTTTTTCATGCCTTCCAGGCTTCCACCTTTGCTTTACCAAGCACGCCCTAAATAATCTAGGGAAAAAATGAAAAAAAAAAAAAAAAAAACTGCACAGCTTAATCATATGCTTAATAACTGTAGAAAGGTTTTCTAAAATATGACATATAGAATGCTTGGAAAATCATTTTACTAACTCAAATGATTAGAAAAAAGTCAGAACATGTGGTTGAATTCTAAGTTAGGAGTTCTAGACTTCTAGTTTTCTAGAATCCTGAAGTGGGATAGTTTATAATGCCAAGGATATGACCTAGAAGTTTAATTTTTGGTGCTTCTTGCTGCGGGGTGTGGGGGATGGGTTTAACATAGGTTAGAAATCTGTTCCTGTCTTCTTTTTCTAAGGTTCTGTCGGGTAATTTACAGAACTATCTTTTGTGGCAATTAACTGTTTGTAATTCCTTAATCTAGCTCAACCTCAAATAGGTATGAATGTCTGCTTGTGAGTTCTCTTTGAAAATTAAAGGCAGCTTCTAAGTCCTGGAGGTTTTTCATTTTTGGATTACTGTTGTCAATTGGAATAATAGTAAAGATTTGTAGTAGGTTAGGAAGCCTCCAAAACTCTTTCCTGTTTTGTTATGCGCTTTGCTAAATCTGAGACTAAAAGCCATTTGTTCTTGCATTATTCACCATTTCACCTGCTTTGGATTTTTAGAAGATACTTGTAGGTGCATTTGGAATGACTTAATTTTGTCTTGCAAATTTGGATTGATTTCTTTTAAAGCTATTTCAGAGGTTTCTTATGGAGTAAGGAGTGGCAGTTCTATGGCAACTTGGCTTTTTTTTTTGTTGTGGGGGGGGGGGGGGGGGGGGGGGGGGAAGTTTTTTGGTGTCTTTAATTGGACAGAAGAAATGATAAATATTCAGGGAATTTCTGCATTTTTTGCACTTGCTTTTGGTTAATGGCTATTGTAATGTGGTTTCCCTATATGATGTGAAGTGGATTTGGAACTCGGAAGGATTTGTTATGTTGATTTAATTTCCCCTTTTTTTGACCTTTCATAAGAGGATGCCTTACCCTCTATCATTGTTTTGATTCCATTATGATCAAATATATTCTTTTGTCCACAAGACAAGAAGTATATAAAACAATAAAGGAAAGAGGTTCCTAGTTTTATCTGTTTTTTCTTTGGGTGTGCAATTGCTTAATTTCTGCTTTTATTATTTCTTTCACTCTATTGATCAGTTCAAAGTTATCAATTATCATTAAACAAAGTTGGCTCCTTTCTTCTTATTTGGAACTTTCTGTGTGTTTGCGCACATAATGTATGTGTGGTTCTGCACTATATGCTTATGTTATTTCTTTAGGTTTCTAAACCCCTGTTAAATAATGAGGAAAACGAGAGACGTGTGATGCCATCCGAGTTGTTGACTGTTGCTATGGCGCCATGTTATTTGGCATTGTCACCAATCGCCATTTGCATGGATTATTTGTTAGGTAAAAGAAGCTGATTCATTACAAGATTACTTGTTCTTCTACCCTCCCACTTTGCATGATTGGAAGGGGTAAGCCCTGACACTTGGATTCCCAGGGAGGTTCTCAATAATCCAGCATGATCATTTGAGGTTGCCTGTTGCTGTGATATAGGATTGCTTGATACAGGACCCAAGAATCCCATTTCCATCTGTCTACCGGATGAATCAACTTTGTTCACAATGGGATCCAACTGAGCTATTTGCATGCTTGGTATCGGCTCCGAAATGAGATTGTTGGACATTCCAGACCACCAGTAGCATTAACCATAAAGAATGTGAGAAATATAATTATGAAATCAATCATTTGTCTTCATTTAACAACTTAAACTTTTGGGTTGAATTGATTTTTTACATGATACCAGAGTCTCTATGACCAAGTGGTTTGGAGTTTGGTCCTTGCTTCCCCTATTCTTTTAATAAATATTTAATTGTGGATATTTTAGCATAGGTAAGTGGGCTTGTTTATTATCTATCCTCCAAGCCTAGGTGGCTCTTGTGTGATGAGATGTGTTAGAAATATAATATAAAATCATTCATTTATTTTCATCTAATAGCTTTAGCTTTTGGGTTGAATTGGTTCTTTATAAAGAATACAAAAAAACATGAGACCTAAAATGATATTTTGTCCTTGACATTGCAATATTTTGAAGTAGTGAATTATCAATGGCCGCCACTGAGAGCAGACTTTAAGAGGATGTTTTGATGCGGGAAGAAAGACAATAACAATAGCGCAATCATGCAATAACAACTAACTCATACAAATGGGGACAATGTCAAATAACATGAGGCCACAGTAACTGTCAACAACTCCCAAGTGGATTGCATCACAAGTCTCTCGTTTTCCTCATTATTTAACAACCCCTATGCCTTTTATGATCTTCAGTGACTTTATGTGTTATTTTGAAGAATTCCACCATTTACATTTTGTAGAAAATCATAATTCAAACATGTTTCCGTTTTTATTTCCTATTAATTAGGATTGATTATGATTGATTAGGATTGATTGTGATTGATTAGAATTGATTGTGATTAGGATTGATTAGTCATCGCTTAGTCATTCTTAGCGATTCTTTCTTGTATAAATACTCACTCATGTAAATTATTCAAGATCAATATACAAAAACTTCTTTTCAATACATTTAATAATACTTTTTAACCGTATTAAAAAAAAAATGAAAGGATCTTTTTGCGAAATTTATATTTTCTTTGGCTGATCTATAGGCATCTTGTATACTGCTGGTTTGGCATGAAATGTAAATAGTTCGCATCTTGGTTTGGGAGATTAACTTGGATGTAGCACTACAATGGAACTTTTTTTAGAATTTCCATACTTTATACCAAGAGTGTTGGAGAAATTTGAATAGTCATAGACTCACTTTGATATTATATGCTCGTAAAAGGTCTTTTGTATATCTTGAACAAAAAAAAAATCACTCCTCTTTAAACCCCGACTACTGAGGGTGGGGTGAGGGCAATCTTTGTACATAACTATACTTTTACATATTTGCAAAGAAGTTGTTTCTCGGATTCGAATCCGTGAATTTTCAGCGTAAAGGAGCAGTTTTACTAGTTGCTCCAGCCTCACCCCTATTTTATATCTCTAGAACAACAATACAATTTTTTTTCTTCTTATTTTTACTATTGAATCTAGATGTCAGCTCCTATGTTTAACTGCACAGTTTGCTTTTCTGCTTGATCCTGTTTTACTAGAGGCTATGGCAGGTTTTACTTGGAATGTTGTGGTGTTTGAAACTGTTTTATATTTTTTAATAATTTACAGCAAAAGCTGCAAATTTGTATTTGATGTTTTTGAAGTGGACTTTTAAGATCTGTAGTTGCTTATGATAAGCACACCGGGGATGCTTTTCAATGCTGCATGACTGTTGAATATCTATCTATCTATCTATAATGCCTGCTTTGACAGTTCTTTGATTTTTAGATAAGCACACTAGGATGTATTTCTAATTTGAACTATATGTATTCAACTTTGTAAATCTCTGTTTTGATAGTTCTTTGATACTTTAGATAATCATCATTGCAGTTTTACAATAATTTTTACCAAGCACCTTATTAATCTCTGTGCAATTGAATCACTTTTGGCATACTTCTGCTAAACAAATTTTGGAACATTCTAATACAGCAACTAATTTTGGAGGCTAAATCATGGCCTACTGAAGTTAAAACCTGCTGATGTAATTCGTTCAATTTGTTGGCCTTGCTTGATTGGTCTACATATGATCACAGTACTCCAGGGTCCAGACGTGTATTCGTTTAGTGTGTTTGTGTTCTCCTCGTGAGTTCTATTAATAATTGCTTTTGATCATCATTAATCAATTTGATTTACTCTAACAAGACTTCACTTACTTGGCCATGTATGGCTCTTTTTTTTGGGTAAATATCTTTTATTATTCATAGCTTCTCTTTAATTTTTATTTTTCCTTAATTGAGTTCCTATAAGAGTATTTGGGTCCTTGCTGTCAGTGGAATTCAAAACGCAATCAAAATTCACCGAGGTGGCACTGGCAGACTCAATGTCCACATGTGTGAACACCTGGCTAAGTTTTTTCCATGCTGAATTCTGTTAGAACCCATTTGCAAGGTATGAGACTTGAGTCCCACATTTGTTGTATGGGCAGCTAATGCGAGATTTATAAGGTCTTGGACACTCCCATCCTTTGAGCTAGCTTTTGGGGTGGTGCATCCCAAGGTTCTTATCAAATGGTATCAGAGCCTTCCACTATGTCTTCAGGTTGCAATCGAGCGGTGCGGGTGGTGACGCCGGTATTGCATTGTTCGCTCGGGTCTAGTAAAAGACTAGCGCTAGCCCGCGTGGGCGCCGGGGCTGTGGAGCGTGGTGGAATGTTAGGATCCGTTTGCAAGGTATGGGACTTGGAGTCCCACATTGGTTGTGTGGGCAACTAATGTGGGGTTTATAAGGTCTTTGACACTCTTACTTTTTGAGTTAGCTTTTGGAGTGGTGCATCCCAAAGTTCTTATCAAATTCCTTACTTTTGCTCCCCTACGGAGCTCTTCACTGGTCCTCAATGCAATTCCACAAAACAATCAAAATTTGAAATCCAAGTTTACAACTGCTTCTAAACTAGCTGAATGCTTGAGGTCCTATTCAGGTAAAATGCATTTCCTTCAATGCTGATTTTCTACCTTTACCTCCATTGTCATTGACTCTCTGGTGATGGGATCTGTCCTCAACCCAAAAAGTAGTCCTGTCCAGATTCCTAATGTTATTGCCTGTGGTAAACCCCTATGAAGTACCGATACGCATTTTCGATACTTCTCGATGATACAGAATGTCAATTACCAAAGGATACGTGTCCGATACGCGTATCCGATACGTTGAAAAAAAAAATTAAAAGAGTATCGGTGCTTCATAGGTAAACCCCTCCCCTAATTGTCTTTATTAGCATTCTGGGCGTAGTATAAGGCAATCCCTCTTATATGGACAAAAAAGGTCTTGTTTTTTGTTCTCATCATCTTTTGACTCATTGATTTCAGTCCAGCAATCCTTAAAGCCGTAGATATTGGAAATTCTATGCCCTTCGGTTAAAAGTTGTCCAAGCCAAGGCAATCTGTTTCGGGTCTTGGCGGTCATTGTGGAGTTCACATTTATGGGTAGATTGGATAGGGCAAAGAATGCAGCTATAGGGAATACCCTGGCTGACTTGTTCTGTTGGCCCTTACAGGAGATGATTTGGAGATAGGTATTTTGGGTAGTGATCTAATTCACATTCAGAGCTGTGAGGAATGGTTGGAGAGGGTGATGCTGAGATATATTCAAGGAATCAAGGGACTTTGCAAAGGAACGTATTTTAGCTGTTGGAGTTGAGCAGGTTTTGTTAATTGAGTGATGAAAAAACTGAGTTCGCACATGTGGAGAGAAACTTCGGGGCACTTCGGTGCTCCCTTTTACTAAATTTTTTATATTTTCCTTTTCACCCATGCTTTTTTTTATACATCCCTTAAAAATATCCCTTTTCAGTAAAAGGGAGAAGGAGCACCTAGTTTGGTGCTGCCGGTGCACAAAAGTTTTTCTTGCACATGTGGTGTTAACATGGAAAAAGTTAGCCGATATGGACATGGGGATGTTCATCTGCCAGATCAGCAAATTTTGGCAGTGTTATTACTTCTACTTACGTCAGGGATCCAATTAAAAATTGAATAAAATTAAAGGAACTCCATTAAAAAAAGATGTGTAAGGACTAAGACTTGTATATGAATGTAACTATAGGGACTACAAAATTAACTCTCTTTTTTCCAATACTATGTAAACATATTGGAGTAACAGGAGACTAAGATTATATTTCTATTTCATTCACTATTTCTATTTATATCTTTATTAAACAAGCATATCATAAATGAAACCATACTACAGTTTGTCAATTTCCTGACCTGTACCCTGATAGTTTCACACACAACCATTGATTTTTTGTGTTCTGCTGCGAGACCTTTATTATACGTATCTGATGAGATGTTTGCGATGAAATTTTGTAACCTTTTTTCTTGTTATATTTCTTTGTTTTTCGTTTTAATGTTTTATTTCCTACCTGTAATTGATTCTATAAAATGGAATTTGTCATTCAACTGCAGTGAAGTGGATGGATCAGATGATGAATTTGATAATGGAAATGGCAGAACTTGTTCCTGCGCGATCATGTAAATTTGAGTTTCATTAAGATGATAGGGTCATTCAACAGGTCATTCATTGCTAACACAATCCATCACTGGGCTTGGGAAAAAGGAGCAGAGATTTTTCAGTCCTGGGGGGACTTGTACACCAACATCTTGCCTGAGTGATTTTTCATGTCTAGAATTGCTTGCTGCGGCTTTAATTTTTGCTCCTCTGCCCCTCATCAATTTGTTGTATAATTCTTGTCTTGTGTGAATTCTTTGACTTTGATTCATCATTTTTAATGCTACTTTATGTTCTTATTTTTGTACGGATAAACAAAGTTTTAGTGCTATGTTCTGGCGATATCTAGAAGAAAGACGATACTAATGCAAGATTTTGTAAAGAATCAGTGTTGTCATGATGGGGAAGTGAACTTTTGGTGGCAGCTTGAGAACGGATTTATGATAAGAGCAGGATTTTGGTGAGGTTTATCTGTTGATAGTATAGAGAAAAGCTTATGTTCCTGTAATTGCTTGGTCTGTGGGGAAAATTAGCGTTCATCCATCATGTCTAGGGATCAAACCTTTTTCCTGCAATTCGGGGTATGGAAACCAGTTGTGTCCTATATTTCTTGACCGGTTTGTTGCTTTTTTGCGTTCTAAATATAAAATCAAAATTGCCATTAAAGTTGCTAAGGCGGTTGATTCTCTCATGTATAGTGTAATGTTCCATTCGCCTGATAGTTAGCAATTCGCTAGAGCTGTTATTTTTAGAGCAATACTTGAAAGGGAATTAAAGACATACTTAAAATTAAATTTTCGTTTGTTCTTCACAGTTTGCTTCATTATCATTCTTAGGGCCGTGTACACAATATAATTCATGCTTTAGTTGTTTTCGTTTAAGTTAATAAATTGTTTAGTTAATTAATTTAGTTTATTTTAAGGGTTTGGTGTTTGTCCTTTTAAAGACATAAAATTTTGTTATTTTAAGTGAGAAAAAGAGACATATAATTAAAATTATAAGGGAGAAAGTTGGTGATTTTTTTAATTTAAATTTTAAACAAAAAAATATTAGTTTTAACTAAAATGATGATCCTTTAAAAGGACAAAATATTTCTCCATCATGAATTATCAACACAAATAGTAAGTTGTCATTTGTATTGGTAAGTGATTGGTCCAATAACTATTCGGTTGAGTTTGATCACTTAAAGTTGAAGGTAAATGATGTTGACGAAGAAAAAAAACTGATGATGATTGGGTTGCCGAGATGATAGACCATTGGTGAGATGGTTACATGAGGTTTGTGCAGTTTAAGGAGCCTATGAGTATTTACAAAGCATTTCGACGTGCAAGTCCGTTCACAGTTCAATATGATTCAAATATTCAAGGATAGATGATTTTACCTGGGTTGAGGGCCTCTGTATTTATGGTGTATTTACAATGGAAGGATGTCTGAAGGATGTCTTGCTTCATGCTGCCTTTTTATGGCACTATTCACTCCTATTGGTGGAGTATGGTGGCCTTTCTCATTCTACTCTTTGGGAGAGAAGCCTATGGTTAGGCTAGCACTAGTAGAGGTGGCGACAAGCTAATGCACTCAGTTAATCATTGAGCTCATGTTGAGGTCAAGTTGTCCTGAGCTACTAATCTCAACAATGATGTTTCCTTGCATGCTAAGTTACTTTGGTTGTCAGCCAAGTTAGTGAGATACCTGCGATTTATACGCTGAATGACCTTGGTTCCTTTTGGGTTAAGTTATGACCGTTGGGCCTTTTGGGCTTTTGTTGATATGACTATATGAGCTTTCATTTCGCATATGTTAGTGTAGTAAACTAAGTAAGTTAATTCACAAAAATAGCAAGTTAACCAAAAACCAAAAAACAAAAGCAATAGGTGATTAATTTAATATAATTGAGAAAACAAAATTTAATTAATTTAAATATAATGTTTTTAACTTGTACAATCAATAATAATCTGGTAACCCATTGAATCCTGGTTGACTGTAAAAATATCTAGTATTGGATTTGATGATTTATAAATAGTAAACTCTGTCATCATCTAATTTCGTGTCATGATCTTAAACATAAATTAAGTTTTTTTTTTAAATGTTACTTAATCTGATAAGTTTATTTATTATAAAAATATATTTAACAAAATAATATTTTAAAACATTATATTTTCACATTTTAAATAAATTTTAAAAAATCATTTTATTTATAATTTTAAAATTAAAAAAATAATAAATACCTGTTCTAACATATTTTTAACCCATCATTAGAAAAATAAAATTATAATGTATGAAAAAAATAAAAAAATAAAAAATATATAAAGTTCAAGTATTAAATTTTTCATATCCACCTTTAATTAACTCTTTATTTTTTTTTTTGTAAATTTATAGGAATAAAATAAGGGATTCTTGTTTTTCTAGGAAATAATTTTATCTCCTACACATCCATAAAAATGTGTGATACCCATGGGAGGCTATGTGAAGAAAAAAGAGAGAAAAAAATTACAAGTGTCACATATTTTATGTGTGCATATGAGATAAAATTATTTCTTATAATATAAAAAATATTAATCCTATAAATAATAGAAATCTTTTTAACAAAAAAATGTTAAGTCAAACATTAGCCAAAATCCAATGGTTGATGCAGTTTGCTGACTTTTGCGAGGTGTACAAAATCCATGTTGCAAGCTAAGGCACTTACATCTCCACTAAACTGCAGCCATCTTCCATTGGAAACTTGGCCATACTTTGTCCACACACCTACCCTCCCTTTTTGATAAGAACAAAACCCAATAGAACAAAGACTTGAAAGCAGAAATAAAAAATAAAAAAATTTAAATAAAAATAAAATAAAATAAAATCTTTGAACTGTGTATCTATCTCCAAGCAAAAAAGAGGAAAGAAAAGAAATGTCTGTGACATCTTCTTTCCCATGCATCAAAATCCCAACTTGTTGCTCTTCTCCAACATGTTCATCTTCATCAACTTCATCTTATTCTTTTAGATTCTATTCTTCCAAGCCTTATGCTGTTACTATAAGGAATTCTCAGACTGAAGGGCCTCTGAGAAGACCAGTTGCTCCTCCTCTGAGAGAACCATCTCAGCCCCTTAAGCCCTCACCTCCTTCTCAGCCTCCACCACAGTCTACGGTGGTGCCTTCACCTCAGAAGGAAGCTTCTGTTGTTGGGGATGACAAGAATGTTATTACATTAGAGTTTCAGAGGCAAAAGGCTAAGGAGCTGCAAGAATACTTCAAACAGAAGAAGCTTGAAGAAGCAGATCAGGGTCCCTTTTTTGGCTTCATTGGGAAAAATGAGATTGGCAATGGAAGGTAAAGCTTTTTCTACTTGGACCCCTTAAAGTTTAAGCTTTTCTTTATGTGGGTTTATGTTAATTGCGTTTTCTTTATGTTGGTAGAACTAGTTAATTGTGAGTTAAATTTGGTTGAATGCTGGAGTGATGTGCTATTCATCAGAATATTGGGTGAACATAAATCTGTCTCAGTTATAGGCTAGCAATTTTCATGGGATATTACTTCCAAATTCATTACATTTATGTCCTTTCCCCCCTTCATTGTGACAAATATAAAAAAACATTAGCAGCTTTCTCTGTGATTATAATCTTAGTTCTGTTGTTATGATGGAGGAGGAGAATGAAGATGTTGATGAGAACTCACTTAAGCTGGTGTTCATCAATAATTTGGAGATTTAGCTCTTTTTTTGTCATTTCTTCCCTTAATTGGAACGGCAAAACATTGAAGACTTGGACGGGTGCCAAGGTTCAGATAAACATAATACATTGTTTTGCTAAAGCTCCACTAGTTATGATAATTAGAGAGTAGTTATCAAAAGACAGGAAGGAAACAATAACTCATTTACATATACAGATTGCAATTTTGGAATTGTAACTTTGTCCTCACTCATTTGACAAGCAGATCGCCTAGCATACCTTTCTGTATACCATGAACCAATTATCTCAAAACTTTAAGCCTTTAGGTAAAAGGTCATGAATTATTTTATATATTCAACACTCATCTTCTAGCAAGAGCCTTTTGGGCTCGAAGCCTGAATAATACACAAGCCTATCTATCTTGTGCTGAAATTTAAATTTTATATAGAAGAATGTAGGTAATAAGGATTGAACTCTTTACCACTTGATCACTGACATCATGTCAAAAACCAACTCTGACAAAAGTTAAACTATTTGGTGAAGACTTATGAATTGTTTTAGATATTTAGCACAGCTAAAATAAAATCACTTACATACGTTAGGCAGCAGTGGCAGTCAAATTTTAACACCAAAGACTAAATTTCACTCTGCATTGTATTATTTCCCAAGTGAAGAGAAATTAAGGGAAACAAATTCCATTTGAAATCTCTCGGATGTTCCAGAGGGAATTCAACTTCGTGTCTTGAGCCTTTTCAGGCTCCTTGGAAGAAATTTTGTATGCATATGCCCCCTCAAACTTTCTTATATCATTATAAAGAAGAAACCTTCAAGGTAAGTACTACTGAGTTCATAATGAAAGGGAGGCCAATTTAAGATTTTTTTTCGGCAGTCAGTAATTGATAGAAAAATCATTTCCATCATTGTTGTAAATCCAATTGCTAAGAGAAATAAATTCTCATGTGGAATTATTAGTATTGTTTCTAAATTCTAGTCTTTTTTCTGATTTTTTCAAATTCTAATCTTTTGGTTCAAGATAGCTACTTGATGAGTTATGGTTAATGATATTGTATTAGAAATAGATCTATACAATACAGTTTCTTTATATGAAGGTGAAAATGAACAGAAGCAATTGATCGGTTATATGGATAATTTAATCAATCATTTATCTGCATCCTTGTCTTTTAGTTGAAACCTAAGAATTCAGCTTAAAATAAAGTGAAATAATATATCAATGTGAGTTCAACATTGTTCTAACCGGACTCATCAGGTAATTGATGGACCAGTTGGGAAACAAAAATAAAAATAAAAATAAAAACTCCAATTCCACCCCCGCCCCCCCCAAAAAATAAAAAAATAAAATTGGCATGAGGCAGGAGCTTTTATTTTTTGTCTCCCCAATGCACTTTTATAGTTTTGTACATGAAATATGAAAGCAGATAAAGATTTTGCTGTAGTCTTTCCTCCTTTAGTGGCAATAGAACTGTTAATTACCTGATATTCCAAGCCACAGATCTTTTCAAAGAAGCATCTTTTCAGCAACTTGCTTACTTGTGGTTAATAAGTGTGTTCTTTTAAGATGATAATTTAACTCTTGTATTGAATATCTGCATATTTATGTTAGTCCTCCTCTACCTATGATTTGACTTTTTAATCTGGAGTTTTTGTCTTTATAGATGGGCAATGTTTGGTTTTGCTGTTGGGATGCTGACAGAGTATGCAACAGGCTCGGACTTTGTTGATCAAGTCAAGATCCTTTTCTCCAATTTCGGGATAATAGATTTGGAATGAATACCTTAATATTTTTATACTGTCAATAGTTTCTTGTTGCTTTCTGTAGTGTAAACAACTCTGATCCATTTATTTCATCTTCATATATAGAAAGCAAGCTTGCTTTCATTGCACATTATGGAATAACAAGAATGTGATTTTCCTTTTTCATTATGCTCAACACTTGCTATACATATGGTAAGCCCTTAAAGGGCGCCGTTTGGATGGATTTTTTTTTTAGCCAAAAGCTACTCTCTTTTTTTCAGAAAAAAAAGCACTTTTATTATAAAGTCTGTTCGGATTTTTGCTTTAAAAAAAATTAGAAATCACAAAAAGTCAAAAATCTAATTTTTTAAGCTAAAAATTTTAATTTCTAAACAAAATAGAAATTGAAAGTCAAATATTTTTTTTAAAAAATTTAAATAGCTTTAACTTTCGTAATAAATACTTCTAAAATAAATAAAGTATAAAATGTTATTTTTTACAAGTCCATCCAAATGGACTTCTAAGTACATTACAGTTAGCACCCATAACAGATGAAATGTGTAATATTATCACAGTTAATCAACTATTCTTTATAGGAACTGCAATACTGTCTCTACACAATTCGAATTGGAAGGGATTAGTCTTAACTCTTGACATTCCAAGAGGGTAGGCACACTTTGTGGTAGATCGAAAATAGTAAATGATATTTGAGTGCATGACATTTCATACACATTAACTGGCAAGACAAATTGCAAGGGCAACCAAGTTACTCAAGTTTGAAAAGATTACTATTTGATTTGATAAGGGATAAAAGTTAACCAAACCAAATTTCCTGGCTTTTCCTTTATTTATATTATTTTTTTGCTGGAAATTTTGTTGACGTTAACATTATACCAAAATATAAAGGGTCGAGCAATGATACCAGTAGTTTTGTATGCTATGCTGTCAGAATATTAGCGTTTGAGCGAGAGAATGAGCATACCCTTCCACCTTTTCCATATATATATAAAGGGACAAGTTATATTTACAAACTTTTTTGTTTACAAACTCTTACAAACTATATTATATTCTTTCGGGAGACTACAAACTTTTACAAACTACACTATGTTTTCCCGGGAGAATACAGAGTAAATTATAAAAAAATTCAAAAAAATTTATAAACGGATCATGTCTCATATATATATATATATATACCGACACCGTTATCAAATATTAATCATTTATGCTTAAAATGTTATCAATTTTTTTTTTGGTATTAAAATGTTAACAACCTTTATGTGTATATGGATGTATTTAAGGTGGCCAAGGGTTAAAAAAGGATTGAAGGGAGATGTAAAATGTACTAAATGATGGTAGTTCAGTTGGTGCAACGGAGTTGAGCAGGTGGAGGTGATAATGTGTTCGATCCTTCCTAGTGTGATCTTTAGAAGGGGTTTAAAACCTTAATCTTGGATCCGCCCCGAATGGAACTAATTACGAAGATGAACTAATGAAATATTTCCAAAAAAAAAAAATGTATAAAAAAAAGAGATGTAAAATGTAAAGAAAATAAGTTGAGGAAGGAAGAGTTATTTTTCTCTTTTTATGCAAAGGAGCAAGGGTAATTTTTTTTTTTGGTGGTTGAGCAAGAGTAATTTATTTCTATTTAAAATGTTAAAATACAAAATTACACTCATAAATTAAATATTCCGTTTGAAATACTAAAAAAGTAAGAAATAATTCAATTTTGGAATTTTCATAGATTTCATTGTTTTATTTTACAAATCTCATCCAATTTGACATGATTTGGTGAGCATCGATTTGTTTTTAAATTTAATTATGTAAATGACAATTTTATCCTAATTGAATAATTTAATTATTTAAATAAAATAAAATTAATTTCATTTTTTTAAATTATACACATAATGTTTTGATTTTCATATTAATTTAAATAATTTTTTTTATAAGTTTCAAAATAAAATTTAATCTCTAAATAAAAACAAATTATTTCTTATACGTAAAGATATCAAACACAATTTAAGAATATGAATACCAAATTCAAAATACATAACAGAAAAATATGTTGTCAGCATATACAAAACAGAATCTCCCGTCGTATATGTATGTCTGAGAATGTTGCCGGCAGTGGGACCTAACATAAGAATAAAAGATCTATTGTCTGCCAATGACAGACACGTGTCACAACACTGTACGATGCTCTCTCTCTCTCTCTCTCTCTCTCTCTCTCTCTGAGACTGTGACTGTGAGTCTGTGCCTGTAACTAGTGTGTCCCTCACCTCTTCTCAACCCAACTTTCAACATTTGCTTTTGATAGAGTGAGTCTGATTCCATGAACTGCGCAGTCATTTTCTCTCTCTCTGTCTCTCCGCGGAAAAAGCAAAGAAAAGATCCCATTGCTTGTGTTGTGTACACTCGGCAACATTCCTAATGTGCCGGCCCTGGTCGGCTATTCACATTCTTCCCTTTCTATTACCCCTTTTCCTTTTCCTTTTCCTTGTCTTTCTACTTTGTCATTCTTTGGAGCTGCAATCACAGAAGGGTAGTTATGGGCTGTGTTCAGGCTAAGCCATTGGAAGCTTCAGATTACAATGGCCTAGAGAGGTTGAAATTGGATAATGGGTATGTTAAAAGTGATGACTTTGTTGCTCATAGAAGATCCACTGGTCGAAGACATGAACCTGTGGAGTCTCACAGAGAACCCACAAAGCATAAAGTTGAGTCTCGTGTTGGCAATGGCGAAAGGCAAGGACTTGAATTGGTTGGGGGTCATAAGGAGGTGTTGGTTAGTAAGACGAGAGATGCTGATGTACATGAGAGTAAGAAGTTGCCAAAAAAGTGTTTTGAGGATGATATGGTTGATGGGTGGCCCAGATGGTTAGTTGATAATGTTCCTAGACAAGTTTTGGCTGACTTGGTTCCCAAGAGTGCTGAATCATACAAAATGATAGATAAGGTATTTGTTTTTGAGTTCTGTATAAGTTTTATAATATGGATTAGGTAATTCTAGGATCAAGGTTTAAGGAAAATTCCAAGTATAAATATGCTTTTACAAAGTATTTCTTGCACAATGATCAGGTTATCCATTGCATAGTGCTGGTAGTTAGCTTTCATGAATATGCCACATCGCATTTAATAATGCTTCCAAATTTTTTTCATGATGTGGATCGGTCTTCAGCGATTTATATTTTTCTCTGCTTGAATACGAGGAGTTCCAAAGTTTTCTATATTTGCATTTGTAGCACAAATTGAGAAAAGGTGATTTGATTTTAGCAATATTGTTTGCCAAGTAAGGTACAAGCAGACACTTCTATTTTTCGTGTAATGCATGATCTTTTGGAAAGCCCTATTAGGCATTAATATGTACTAAGTTTAATCAAGGATCCGATCAGTTATATGATGAAGACTTCAAGCAATCATGGAATCATGATAATGATTTCTGTCTAGATTAAAAAAGTTATTACCCGGAATGATATCCAACTACAATTTAAGTTTTCTGGCTTCCTTATACTGACAATCTAATATGCAAGTTTTAATAAATTTTTATTAATGCATAGTTTATTTATAGACGACCAAAACTGAATGAATATCCTAACTGAAAATGCAGAAGGGAACATGCTGGTTGATTTAGCCTGTGTTATTTATGTTTTGCAGGTAGGGCAAGGAACCTACAGCAATGTTTACAAAGCTCTAGATCGAGACACGGGAGAAATTGTGGCCCTCAAGAAGGTCCGCTTCAATACATCAGAGCCTGAGAGTATTAAATTTATGGCAAGGGAAATTATGATACTACAGAATTTGGATCATCCCAATGTAATTAAACTGAAAGGATTAGCCACTTCAAGAATGCAGTACAGTATATATCTAGTTTTTGACTTCATGCAAACAGATTTGGCAAGAATTATTGCTCCTAAAGAAGAGAGACTTACTGAACCCCAGGTTAAAAAGATTCTCTTTGATGATGTGGACGTTTTAGCATTTTGGATCCCTTGATTCTCCTTAATAATCTTAATCAGTTAATGTAGGTCAAGTGCTATATGCATCAATTGCTTTCAGGTCTGCAGCATTGCCATGATAGGGGAATTTTGCATCGAGATATAAAAGGGTCAAACCTTTTGATTGATAAAAATGGGATGCTTAAGATTGGAGATTTTGGGCTTGCCAATTATTATAGTCCAAATCATAACCAGCCTCTCACAAGCCGGGTTGTGACACTATGGTACAGAGCTCCTGAGTTGCTATTAGGTGCCACAGATTATGGAGTTGGCATTGATTTATGGAGTGCTGGATGTCTCCTGGCAGAAATGTTTACAGGAATTCCAATAATGCCTGGCAGAACAGAGGTGATGATGCTCATAACAGTTGTGAAAATCCTTTCTTTTTGTACTAATCTGTCTTTTATTTCCACTCTGTGCAATTTTGTGTTGTGTTGTCTGCATATCTTCAATTTTTTTGGATCTGCTAATCATAAAGTTTCCTTGCTTCCAGGTTGAGCAACTTCATAGAATTTTCAGGCTATGTGGCACACCATCAGAGGAGTATTGGAGAAAATTCAGACTTTCTACAACTTCTAGACCTCCAAAGTCTTATAGACCCAGCCTTGTTGAAACTTTCAGGGATCTCCCTCCATCTTCTTTGGGTCTTTTATGTACTCTACTTGCTTTGGATCCTGCATTCCGTGGCAGTGCATCTAAAGCTCTTAAAAATCAAGTGAGTGAAGGCAACAATGGTTATTTCTGACCAACAGTTAAACTACACACTGCACAATACTTTTCCGTAAGATTGATCTTTTTCCAATTGCCATTTGTTGTCTATGAATTTGTGATTTTGCATATTAAATACTAGGGGAGAACATAGATTGAGATGGTTTGGTCAGGTTCTTTGAAGATCCTTAGATATTCTGGTTAGAAAAGAAACTGGTTACATTAAAAAGAAAGAAAGAAGTCGGCTGAAACTTACTTTGCGGAAAATAGTAAACAATGGCAAATAGATTGGTGTGTGATGATGTTGAAACATTGGGGTCTTTATGAGGCAATTTACATGTTTATTTACTAGTACTAGTATTATTATTATTATTATTATTATTATGGGTGTTTCTGTTCAACTTTTTCTTTTTTGTAGATTCAAAATAATGCATTATAGTTACATAGTTTTGTTAGATCTTCTATCTGAAAGGCTTTAAAACATTGACTAATGGCTGTAGCCACAAGGTTTGATGAGGAAAATTTATCTTCTCTCCCCTGTAAACCACCAATTATTTTCATGATGGAAAACGTATAGATTTTATGTTCTCATGAATCATGATGATTCATTTTTGGCTAATTTGCTGATCATGAAGCACTAGTTGATTTACAAAGCCACACACAAGCATGTGCAACAATGTTAAGTCCAGCTTGCAATTCCTGCTGAACAACTAGGAAACAATTAAATGCCTAAATTATTCCAAATTTCCCATGTATAAGTATACTTTTGCCTGCAGTTTTTCTTTACAAGCCCGTTGGCATGTGAGCTTTCTGGTCTGCCTGTAATCTACAGCGAAGATGATAAGCTTCTTCAAGCCAACGAACAGATCAAGTAAGTCATTTTTTTCTGCAAAGGTTTAGAGAATAGCTTTAGTCAACTTGTGAATACACAACTGTTCAGACACAGATACATCTGCTTCTATTATTATATATGTCTACATGTATATGTGGCAGTGATTAATGGTATATCTCTTATTTTCATAGTGAGAACTGTGCCATATGCACTACACAGGCATAGACAATGAACTTTTTTTATTTTTTATTTTTTTTGTCAGAATTTAGCAGACTATTGGTTCATTGAAACAGTGTACTTAGGTTGGGTGATTCTGACTTATGTTTATACTAAGGAATTATTTAGTTCAACATGTGACGTTGAACAACTAATCCAAATTTATTTTTCTAGTTCGATGATAATATAAAAAATTAACTGATGAAAAGATTTAAGTTCTTATTTTAGTACTGGTAAAAATATCTTATTTCTTTGTTAATATTATAGGTACATGAACTCTAAAATCAGGCGTTCTCGTACATATCTGGAGCGCCGTAAGAATTTAGCATCTAAGAGGCCAATAGAACATACTGTATCTTCTAAAGAGGTAAGTATCAAGCCTTGTGCTTTAGAAAATCCTGTGGCTAATGACAAATTGCTCACTGTCATGCTTGATGGAGTTAGATTCAAATTTTTGTTTTGCCCACCTTGATATAGAATCAAAGACTTCCCTGTTAAGCTTCCTTCTATTTGATTTCCTAAGTACTGTGGTTGTGTTGACTTGTTTCACATTATGCCAGAGAAAGTGTTTGATTGAAACACCTTTTGAGGTTAACGTATCTATCTGGCTCACACTTGTTACAGTTGGAATACTGTGCACAATACAGTAGATTACATTAGAAAATAAAGCTGATGTTGTGTTTCCAGGATAAATACATGAATAATTAAAAACTACAGATTGTTATATTGTATTGAATGTCTTACTATACAAAGGTTAAAGGGAGCATGTCTTTTTTTTTTTTTTTTGTCATCATTTTGGTTATGTAAGTGCTACTATTAACAATAATTTGTTCATTGGTTAAGTACTGTTGTGTTTTTTTGACATATTATTCAGGAATTGAGAAGGAATGCTGAGCCTGAAACTTATGTTCTAAATGAAGAACTGGAAAGCACAACAACAAGCAGTACCTCATCTAGTGTAAACCAAGCTGGGGCTAAAGACCACTCACCTTTCTTTTCCTCTCCACTTTTGTCTTCAGATCAAAAGTTGTCTCCCAAATTCCATCACCATGCTAATGTTGGTGAAAAAAACATCAAGAACCTTCCTCAATTACCCAAGTCAAAACCAAATGCAACCAAGAAATATGACAGCAGATACAGACCAGACCAGGTTTTCAGGTCTGCTTCCACCAGAGAATTTAGGAACTCAAAACGGGAGGAACATTTACTCTTTGAAATTGATGATTAGGAAAATCTGAGATTATGTAAACACAAAATTGTTATTTTAATTTTATCATTTGATGTATTCTGAAAGTTCCTCTACATATTCTTTTTCCTCTTGGTGAGACCTGATTTGTCAACCCATTCTCCCAACATTTCGATCCTTCTGTTTCAATAAGCATCAACGTAAGTTGCTTGCTTTCCAAATCTCTTTGGCTTGTAAATGAACTTTACTATGTGTAGTATACATTTCTTAGGAGTAACATTATGCGCTCTATTTAGTATTTACAGAAAGAATAATTCCTGGTACACACATTTAGGTGCACATCACCGAAAATCCTGAATGTTCAGCAGCAACAAAGTATGCGTGTGCTTTTGTTCAAGTGGGATTAAGTACTAACTGCAATCCAGCACATTGTTGTTATAGAAAATCATCTTCAACGAAAGAATTAAAGAAAATTTTATTATTTAAATATTTTTAAGAGAAACTTGGTACTAAATTGTTCAAACTTTTGCTGCATCTTTCTTCTACAATTTGTAATAGGCGTTGTAAAATCTTCACGCAGTTAGTCACTATGTTATCAAATATTGACCCTTAAAATATTGTGTTAAATAACAAGAGAGAAGAGAGGAACATTTGAAATAATACTGTGTGTATTGACTGATGAAGGCTGTACAATATATAAACAGACTAATAGGTTAAGCCCAAACCTAACGTAATCTGACATAATACAAAATAAGGAAACTCTAATTACAAAATAAGAAAACCCTAATTACAATATATTTCTAACACTCCCCCTCAAGTTGGAAGGTATAGGTCATATGCACTAAGCTTGTTACATATAAACTATTCGAGGGTCCCTCAAAGATTTTGTAAACACATCTGCTAATTGCTCATTAGAGGGTACAAAGCTAGTTTTAATTTCACCAGCAAGAATCTTTTCTCGAACAAAGTGACAACCAATGTAGGACTTGGAAGAACGAAGAAAGGAGTGCGTGATAGTAACATAGAGCTCTCTACATGCAATTGGCTCAACTGGAACTTGTAATTATCAATAATTAAATTATTTACTTATTCACATCATTATCAAGGGCCTAGATAATTGTAGTTATCTACCTCATACATGACGTACAATGAGTTGGGGTGTCACTTTCTGTGATAGCCTTGTCTAAATATCTGTAATCCTTTCTATTTGTTTGTATTACTCCTCTGTCATTTTTTGCTTCAAAATCTCTATGATTGCCTTGTATAGATCTTTATAATCCTTTCTACTTGTTTGTTTTACTCCTGTCGTTTTTCGCTTCATTATCTCTATGTTAAAGTTGGGTTTTAAGATATACAGAACAAAGAGACAATGAGTAAGGAACCTGTGGGTGCTAATCACTAGGCTTGGTGCTATTTGTTAAACAATGAAACTCCAATGGTCAAATTCAAGTATAAATTTCCAAATTGTAACAGTGACATGTTTACCTAGTTTTTTAAGCATCTAAGCCTAGTATGAAAAGAAATTTTGTAGATCAGCTTCTTGAGAGTAAATCAGTTGAATTTGGCAGATTTGGGCTACATCTTGGCAAAAGTCAAACAACAAAAACTGAACCCCGTAAAGTCCTATGTTTAGATTGCAGATACTAGAAGTTGACAAATACCATCACCAAGTAAAAAGAGATGAAAATTTACAAGAAAGAATTAAAAATTTATGTATGTCTCGGTATAAGTGATTTATAAGTGCAAGGTGGCTCTTATATGAATACTTTCAGTTACTTTAGTAGCTTTTTTGGCTAGGCCTCAAATATCTAAAATCATAAAAAGGAAGGCTCATTGTTAAAATTATGAAGTAGAAAACCATATTCAGATTTCTGCTATCTCAGATCTTCTTTGGATAAGAAGTTAAGCACATAGAGCATACATCCAAATTCCAACAGAAAAAAACTAACGATAAGAATAAAACTATATTTTGAATTCTCGGTTGTTTTATACAAAGCAAGCTAGTTTGCACTTGCTTGTACCTAAGACTAGCCAAGAAACCCTTAAATGACATTTTGATTGCAGAACATATATTCCAACACAGCATACCCCTTCATTCATTTTTCATGTAAAATATCATATACCTCACAAATACACCTCTGCAATATTTTCCTTTATAAAGGAAAGTTTTTTTTTTTTTTTTTCTTTAATTTCTTACCTTCAAAGTTGAGATTACTGGCCCACAGTAAGCAATTGTAGTTCACACACCATAGCGAATATCACTGAACTTATTCTTGATCCACTTGAAGCTGTTTCTTACACTTGTTTTAAGCTTTCCCTCCACTGTCAACACATTATAGGCCTTGATTCTCTTCTTCCTCTTAAGCTCTGAATCATTTGCTGCACAAAACCCACTTCCATTCTCACTTGGCCCATTAAAATTATATGAGTTGGATCGTTCTCTGAACCCAAATTCAGAGTAAGAGCAGGAGTATTCAGGGAATGACTTGCTTTTCTCCATGACCAAACACACCAAGTTTCAGAAACAAACCTTCTCTTTGGTCTCTCCCTGCATGAAACAGGAAATATTTTGTATTACATGAGCAAAAATGTGACAACCTGGTTGTGGTTTTTAGAGGGAAGTGCTACATCATGATACACTGTGGTGGCACCCCATGTGTGATGTTGGATAACTTCCCTTTTGGGTTTTGAGAATCATTAAGGCCATTGGTAGTGTGGGAAGTGGGACACACTTGTGGAAGCATGAGTTGCCACCATTTACACAAAATGAATTCACACACTAAGGATATGGACCCACCCTTTTTAGTGGGGTGGCCCAAGTTGGTTGCTTTATTTAGTTTTTGATACTGAGATAAGGCACTAGACTTTGCTTTGAACAAATGCTAAATTGCCATTTGCAAGCTATGATACATTCACATTTATATTGTTTGGTGAAAAGAAAACGGGTGTCATCTCCCACTTTATGTCAAAATCAGTGGCTTAGTGCTCTGTGGGCCTTGGATTTCATGCAGACCAAAGATTGAAAAGATTATCTTTGATGTCTGCTTTAAGAGAGGAAATATCTAGTATTCAAAAAAAAAAAAAAGAGAGGAAATATCTAATGCTATTATCATCATCTGCCATATATAATTGACTAAATTCATATTATTATTAGTTGTAATAAATGGGACAAAACCATTTATGCTTCACGTTTTCTGATCAGATGTTTGATGAATGAATACCATGAATCAATTTCCTTTGAAAAACTGTCCAGTATTTCTTAACCAACATAATCATTGTTTTAACACATATAATTGAGGGAGTCATCAGGTTGTGCTATCATATATTTAGATTCCAAATCTTAATTTTCGTTAATGGAATTCAATGTAACAATAATTTATAAAAATACAAAGAGGAAGCAGAGTCTAAATGTGTATGATTTGATGTAGATCTGTAGAATTGATTGCACAAGCTAGAGAACAAAAAATTAAAGAGTCTAGAGATACATGTTGACCCACATGTATGGTAGCATGAGTACCAATTCAACTGGCCCCATAAAAGCGTTTGGTTCTCCTATTCCTATTGACCAAAATATTTAAAGCTTTTAAATGGATCAGTTGGTCGATTTGGTTCATTTAGCAATCACCAACTTCATGAATCTTCTTAAGTTAAAAAAATTTAAGAATGATGCAAAAAGGAAAATGCAAAATAAAAATAAAAATTGAGTTAGGTAAAGCTCCACTGGATCAAACTCCTATTCTCAATATGATCTGAATTCTTTAAGAATTAACCTTCTTATCAATTCATTGTCCAGACTCCATAACTAGAAAAACTTGCAAGCCTCTACCAAAAAGTTGCAGAAAAGGAACCTTGCTGATTCTTAAATACCATCATGGTTCATGGATCAATTGGGCAACATAAACATCAATATAATGAAGGTTTTTGACCCTTCTTTGCCTTTTCGTTATCTGAAATCTCTTTCCAGGCAATTTTAATGAATATTCTAAATGCTCTGATTTTACATTTTAGATACTGGGAATAAAATTCAAAACTTTACATATAAGCACTTTGTTTATATATTATGGTTGACAAAATTTACAATTTTTTAAGATAGTCTAGTCAATATTAGATGGGTTCGCTTTTTCTGCAGTAAGCTCAATACGACGTCGTTTTGGGACGGAAATCATGGTGTTTTTATAATTTTAATTTATTTCAAGGTTATTATAGTCTTTATAATTATAATTTTTTAATATTTCAATCCAAAACGACGTCATTTTGAGAGTAAACACAGATAACTTAACTACAGTAACAACAACAATGTTTTTCTGATATTAGATAGTGTTTTTGCAATTTTTTAAAATGACAAATAATACAAAATACTTAACTAAAAAATATTTACTAATCAACTGTATCTATTAGTTTAATTCTTTTATGATTTGATTAAAATTATATTTTAAAATAAAATATATAACAACTTTGAAATTATTAATTTTAATATAAACATTCGAACCGTTTTTATTATTTTTTCCTTTATTATGTCAAATAATAAATTTTTTGTTGTGCAATAATTCAAGATATTTTCGAGCAAATTTTTACATCAAACACGCTTTTAGTCTTTGCTTAAAGTTATAATAGTTTTTTTTTTTAGAATGTCCCCCGATAATCCTATAGATTTTCTAAAGACTAATCCGAAATCGGGACGAGTCCAGGATTAAGACCTCTTCCAAAAATAATACTGAGAAGGATCGAACATATACTCTCATCCTTCACATGCTCAATTTCCATGTGCCTGAACTTCCATAAAAAATTATAATAGTTGTTCGTACGATTGGAGGGCTTCTAGAGTGTAATTTCATTTTGACAATACTCTCTGACAAAGAATGTGTGGCACGAAGAGAAAAATCTATAATAATACGATGGTATGTAGTATGTACATGAATTGCGAAGCCAGGATTTTTCTTCTAAAGGGCAAAAAATCAAATATACAAAAGAATGTATTCATTGACCTGATTCCAAACAATTAATTGGTTACTTACTTAACATAACAATACTAGTATTGTATT